GTTTTTTGGTCGCACCAAAACGACTGCGTCTCGTCCAAATAATAATTTGCCCAGTTTAAGTTCTTCCCGCTCCTCTTACGCCTTTAAACTCACTCACTGCCCTTGCAGAATTCGCCCCGATTTTTTGCGGAATTTGCGGTACTTTTTTACGAAAAACATTAAGCTGAAGGGATTTTTCTCGATGTTTCGTCGCGTCGGTCCTCAACTGCGTCGCGGCTCCGACGCGCCGCCACCTGGCACGTCTCCCCTTCTCGGAATGCCGAGAGGGAACAACATATCCCCTTACACGAGTGCAGTGCGTGATGTGAAAACGACGTGAAAACGACGTGCATCCGTGCCGACGCATTCAGTGACTCGCCGCTTTCCGACCGACACGAAGGGGAGAATTTCCGCCGAATTCCCGCCGAATTTTCGCCGAATTTGTTCTCGTGACCGCCGATGATGTCGCCTCTCGTGACCGCCCTGATCGTGACCGCCCTGACCGTCGCCCTCGTCGAATCCCGGGGCTGCTACACGATCCGAACGGGGAAAAGCATCGCCTATTGCAAACCAGGTCAACCGATTCCTTCCCCGATATAAAACGTTCAGGCGAAATCGCCGCTCGCCGCGATTCCTTTCGCCTCGTGCTCGAGCTCGAATTCGCACTCCCGTCGCGGCGTCGGAAGTGACGACGTGTCGCGGAAAAAAAAGGAATCGTCGGGCGATTTGCACGAAAGCAGCAAAAAGTTCCATTTTCGTCGTATGGACATCCATTACATGGACATCCATTATGTGACCATTGTCAGTCGGTGCCAACGATGAACGATCCACGTGGGTGTTCGTTCGACATCAATCGTGACACACGCGTGATGCCCAACCGCTGCTGACGGTTCGTGTCCATTTCGCATTTTGGCCATCTCTCAATTATTCAGACATTTAATGCGACTTCTTTCCCATGTACGAGGTGTGCCATGTGACCCGATTTCTTCCACTCGTAGGCGAAACTAAGTCTATATACTTATTATTAGTAGCATAAATACTATGTATTTTAAATATATTTAAATTAAATTAATTAGCTGTAGGATACCATGTGCGAAAACTCGCGTGCAATGTCCTTTTTGTCAAGGACCATACAGGTTTCAGTCGCCAAACGGAAGAGTCAACGAACGAAGGAAGTAGAACAAGGACTATTAGAAACGACGAAACGAGAGCCTATGGTTTTCCAAAGGGGACGGGCAAAGGGGGATACAATGAAGGCCTACCGTCGTTGGCATCCGTTTTTTTTTCTTCGTCTGCGGTGATGGGTTCTTGCGCTGTGTGGTTTGCTGCGTTGGTGCTGTGTATTCCCGTAGGGAGAAGACGTGGTCTTGTGGTGACTTGTCCGGATGTTTTCGGATGATACTGTAGATTGTCGTAAATCGTCGGAAATGCCGCGATAATCGTAGCGAGAGATTCACGGAGCGTCTCCCTGCCGAGGGGCCTGGGAGCTCCAGATGTCCTCGCGAGGACGATGTTCGATGGCATGCAGTGTTGTTCGATGGTATGCAGTGTTGTTCGATGGCATGCAGTGATGTTCGCAGATGGAACAACCATTAACCGAGGAAGAACGACTTCCTGAGAACTGAAGGATTTCCTTCAATGAATTTTTATCGCACTCATATTTGCGAGAGAAAAGAAGCGTACTTTCTTCTCTATGGCCACCCCCAAAAGCGCAATAAAAACCGACCATCCGACAACCGTGCAGAGCAGCAGACTCGACATCCAGCGGATCCTCGATAAACCCGCTGCGTCCTCCGTCCCCGACACCAAGGCACCGATTGAGTCCGAGAGCAGGTGGTCCCCAGAAGTGACGAAGAAAGAAGAAGCATGGACGCAAGGCGATTCTCACCGCGGAAACCAATCACAACTTCATAAATTTACGTACTTTTGAACGTCCTTTATATATAAACAGGCATGTACTTACAGATATAACTCCATTCGTGTATTTCAAATCTCTTTTTGCCGTTGGATATTTCTGTCGGCTAATCTGTGCGAGTCACGCATGCATGGTTCGCCGCTATTCATTCAGACTACCTTTTAATTAGCTATGAATAATGGAATGAATACCTTGCAGGAAGTGAGTCGCATATTTTGTTGCCGGTGGACTGACCGATGAAAGAAATGCATAGTTTTGTTATTTATTTATTCTGTTATTTTAGCCTCGAGAACTCTTTTCGAGGATAAAAAAAAATTCATCTTGAATTTTTTGTTAGAAGCTTTTCTGGATTGTTCGGAGGTATTTAATTTGGGAATTTATTTTAAGATATTAGATGAGGAGCATGCAAGGAATTTTTTTTGTTATTCTTTTCCTCCAAAATCACCCAGTAAAATCCTAGGTGAAACTGCTAAATATGTTGAGAATTCGCAGGTTTCTCCCCCAAATTTCGACTCCATTCAATGGGAAAGCCAAAAAAATTTTTTTGGCAACACTGGCTAGACGGACGCATAGGCGGCACACGGCGATCCGAAAACCAGTAAGTACTTGTACTTATGCTGTTTTATGCATGCTATTTTTACGGTGCATGCAAGCCCATATTGGTACGAATTGGTACAGGTGGTACGAATACATTTTTGGGTGAGCCAGAAAGTTTAATAATGAGAAATCCTGGCAGATAGGGCAAATTTTGCCGCGCTTCTTTTTATCTGCTCTTTCTACGAAACCAAAAATTGGCAAACATTGTGCAAATTTTCCTAGCGGATCTCGGAGGACAATTTGGCAGCCGATTTACCGCCTTCTAATTTGAATTTCATGTTAGTTTATTGCAATCCGTCATTTAAATTCCGTATTATTGCGCGATGATCTGAAAGATCCATTTTCGGTACTGTTGACGATAATACGGAGTTTGTGCATTATTTACAGGTTATTGCGAGAGGTTTATTGCATTATTTACAAAATTACCGGTTTAGACTCGAATCGCATGCTCTCTACATTAAAAATGCTTCTCCCGTTTGCATGTCAATAACATACAAACGTTCATATCCGATATGTTCATGTGATATCTTTAGAAATTTAATTGGCTACAGGAATGCAATTGGTGCTTAGTTTGCTTCAAAATGACGTCATTTTCGCGGCAGAATCAGAAAATGGTCAAAGCGAACGAGGTACGAACAACCGCTTCCCTCCTAGCTTCCCCCGTTCTCGTTGCCCCGCTCTCTCGCGTTCGCATTCGCCGAAGCGAATGGTAGAGGAGGTCCGTGGAGGAGGTCCGTAGAGAGCTCTCCGACGAGCAGACGACTCGAGCGCTGAGGTCTGTCTCCCGTTGGTGGGCGCGAGGCGTCGTCTGCTCGTGGTGGCCTCTGCTTCTTCCCGACGGATGACTCGCTTCTTTTCGCCAGGGAGGAGGGGAAGAGGGAATGGAACAGCCTCCGTTTTGCACTCAAAGAGCCCCAAACGAAAAAGCAAAGGAAACCAAAACCGAAACTCAGAAAACTGCGAGAATTCGGAGTCAACAATCCGCGATGTCCGCGCGACACGCTTCCAGCGCGACAGATAACGGGCCATCCAAGACCAAGGTCAAGGCGAAGTTCGTCGCCGAACCCAAGACATCACCGACTCCTCTCTGCTAAATCTCGAGCAAGTAAAAAAGCGCATTTCAATTTCTACCGCCGTACTGGCGGCGAGCGAAGCGTACCGGCACTGGTTGCGATTTTCGTTTTTCTTTTAATACTGGTACTTGTAAGTTGTACTGTAAGTTACTTGATACTGGTATTGGTAACGAGTCTAAGCCCAGCTGACGCGCAAGGTAATGCCCGCTTGCGAATATAAACAGGTGAACAAAATAAAATTCACGCATGCAGCTTTGACGAACTCACGGGCGCGTCTCAAAAGTGGAAGCCAATCAGAATTGACCTCCAAGCTCAAAAATGATGAATAATGGCTTTTAATATCTTCCAAAGCGGCGAATCTCGCGGCAGCATTCCTTGCGGGCATGTTTTCTCTCTACGAGTCGAAAATTATTTAAATCTCATGGGCTCCTGATGAAATCCGTTTAATAAAAAAAAAAGCTACATTATATTTCGTTTTGTCATTTGGGAGCGCTCGCGATGACGCCGGATTCGATCGTTCATGTCGGTTCCAATACGCGCATTTCCCGGATTTTCGGGTTTTTTATCGGCTCCAGCGCTTTTCCGAGCGATATAGAAGAGCCGGTATTCCACGTCGGGAAATTTCCTGCAGAAACGCTTTTCCTGGTAAGGAAAACGTTTGCAAACCGGTCCCCGGTTTGCAAACGACCTTCGCAAACGACTTCGCAATTGTATATTCGGACAGAATATAAAAATCTTAGTGAAAAAAACCGGTGAAAAATCGCCATTATTAGGCAATCACCTCATTTGGCACTCTCGGATTTTCCCCTATTCGGGCCAAGGACAATAAGGAGGTAATAACGAAATAATAACGAAAATCCAGCGAAATTCGGCCTTTTGCAGGAATGTTCGCTGGATTTGCACTTCTGAAACTGCCAAAATCGCTCTCATCCCCCTCCTTAAAAATCGGCACGACGTTCGCTAATGTCCAATCCCTCGGCCCCCCCCCCCCCCAACTCGATTGTAACATTGGACATGGACTTCTTCGGCTGAGTANCCCCCCCCCCCCCCCCCCCCCCCCCCCCCCCCCCCCCCGGGCAAAATGCCATTCCCGACGACGATCCTAATGGTCTCGTTACCGAGTTCCTCGATACGACGAGCCGGTATGCCATCGAGACCGGTTGCCTGTCCTATTTTCAACAGTATATTAAATATTACAAATAACGCCGGGTTTGCTCGCGAGAACAGGAGTGAAATCGCCGAAAACCTTGACCATGTTTTTCGGAACTAACCCATTCTCGTTAGGACGATCCCGAACGAAAACGAACTCGTCTCGCGTCTTCGACAATTAAACGCGATCGCCTTCACGTGATGCAAGACCATGTCGCAATCGATCGTTGCAGCGGGAAAGGGGTGCGGGCCTGACAAAAGTTTCCACTCGTTATTTCTTTTTCTTATTTAATACTGTGAACGGGAATGGCGGCGGAATCGTCATCGTTCCTGTTCACAGTATTAAAAAAAAGAGAAATATTTTTAAAACAATGAATGAAGTGGAATAGGGGCAGAAACGTCACACTTTTCTTGAGAGTTCTTGAGGATAAACACGGTTTTCGCCTGGACTGACAGTTCAGCTTTCGGGTAGAACACGTTCTCCCTTGGACTAAAGCATAGGCCACACTCTGTGCTCCATTGCGTGAGTGATAGGGTTTTGGTGCGCCTTACCCACCTGTGGTGGTGGAGGGCCTCATGCCTGAGCGGCATCGAACTTGCCATCTCCTTCCCAGGGCCCGTGGAAACGGAGCACATAGTGAGAGTGTGGGAAAGTATGGCAATGCCGTCAGGGATGTCTGATTTGGAGACCACTTCTACTGTGTCCAGCGGCTTATGAGATTTGTCCTTGTCCGTGTCCGTTCCAGTCCACTTTCTCCTTTTTTAAATAAATAAAAAGAAAAAATAATGAAATAAAATAAAATCCTGTAATCCTATCTACCGTAGAAATAAGTATTTATAACTAAATGTCTGTCAAAGGAAACCTATTTTCACGCACATGTCAATGCAATAAAAGTGGATCAAGCAGGATTCCAGACGGAGCTTTCGAGTTGTACTCAGCCGAAGAAGTCCATGTCCAATGTTACAATCGAGTTGGGGGGGAGGGAGGCTTTCGCTGGATTTTTTTCACTGTGAAGGACATCAAGGACATCACTTAAACCTCAGGTATTTTCTCCCTGGCTTACAGCTCTCTCGAATTATAACCAATTATTTCAAAATGCATGATAATTCTTCTTTAAAAACGTATTCGAAGAAAAAAAAATGCATATCTGCAGAAAATATAATTTTGTGCATCGGCATATGCCGAATTCAGTTGAAAATATGAGATTCTGCAGGATGCAAATATCTAAATACTAATAAACTCCAGCAGCTCCCTCTTTAGTAATGGCACACAGAAACATCCTCTCAATCGTGCTGATAGTAAAACCAATATTGCTGGTTAAATAACCTGAAGGATGTAAAACATAACTCAAGTCATAAGAAAATGTATTAAACTTTTTTTGATGGAATTTCCCCCCAGATTACACGGCAGTGAGCTGCCGTTGCAACATCCACTGCATCGTTAAGAGTTTTCGGCACGGCAGAACCCTCTGGAAGGGATATCAGGAAGGGAATGTGGAAGGCACTTCCATCTTCACTACACGTGTGCCATCTCGATCTCATTCTCCAGGGAGGGCACGGATGGTCACCAAATCCTACTGCAAGTGTGATACAGCCTGTCCTTTTGAAGACATCCATGGATGGACTGAAGTCTACTGCTGTCAATAATAATTATTAAAAAAACTTGCAGGTTGTCATTTTTCATGGCACTTTACTTCCCTTCATCTTATAAGAAATAAAGAATATATTGTTCACCAAAGCAAACAGAAGAATAAATCTGACATGGGACACGACTGCAAAAAAGGATCACAATATTGCCTTGAGGAAAAGAGCAGAATAAAGAGAAAATGTCAAAACTGAATATCACTATGTGGAGCAACCAGACAGCAAATGGCACAATTAGGGTGGTTGATCACTTTTTCAGAGACATCTTTGGTATGATATGAATGACAGAAATTTCGTTAGAAGGAGACTCAACCGGGACTGGGGGTGACAGGGCTGTCATTAGATGTTGCCCTGGGTATTGCATAATTCTCCATGACAGTATCTGGAGAATCTGGGTCTCTTTCGCTGCCGTTTGATCCCATGCTACTCGTGCTCCCGCGCATCGTCGAACTGGAGCTGTTTCTTCGTGGAGATTTCTTCACACCATGGTCAAAGGAATCCAAGTGGATCTTCTCATAACGGTGGATGGGTGTGGATGTCCTTGGGGGGGAGTGCAGGTACTGACTGGACCGGTGAAGAGGAGGCAATTGGGATGGGACTAGATGGATGCGTTGGGGAAGAGGAATCAAAGCTGGTGTCTGCTCCGCTCGAAGACACATCGCTGAGTCGAGACGTCAATGATGTGGTCTATAGAGTGAACCCATTAAGAATTATTAATATTAGTCACTTACATCATTATACAAAAGTAATTCATAATAATATAATTTACTGAAATTAAGATTTGATTAGATTAAGAATTATCATTCAGCAATACTTATGCTTAAAGCACAATTTAACCTTTGGAGGAGTGAGTTTTCTTAACCCTTTCAGGAGTGGGTTGTTCTGGAGGTGTGCAAGCGCCTTCAATTCAAAGCCATTCACGTAAAGAAGCGGGATATACTGATACGTTCATACTCCTGAAAGGGTTAAGAATGGTGGAAAATGCAATGCATTTTTAAAATTTACTCTCAGTTTACTTGAAGCCACTAATTATCAATAATTTATCACACTTATGTAAGCATATATGAACCACTCAGTGATTATAAAGACTCATACAGTATATTACGTATTGCACTTCCCTAGTTTGCATTTTGCTCCCCAGTATGACTCTGCAAAGCAAGCAGGGCTTAGTGTTATAATGCTGCATTATTGCATGAAAATCAGGAATAAATTATGCTAGTTCTGCAACTTAGTCTCTCTATTATGCAGGACTTGTGAGATTTTGCAATTAGGGTCAAAATTCTTTTATCATATAGACAGCAAGGAGAAACTGCACTGGGCTTGAGGAATGTGGCTATGCTTCTGCTATGCAGAAGCTCACAGTAAAACAAAATGCAGTTGGAGTGCAGGCAATGGACTGACCTTATGAGCTGGCTTGGGTGGGCGGATGGGAGGGGTGTCCCTTCCGCAGGATGGGGTGGGTGAGACTCGGAGGCGCACTTCGTGAAGTGCACTCACTGCATGTGACAAGCAGAGAATGAAAGGGTCCAAGATAGAAGGGGATAGGAGAAAAAAAAATGTTGGTGAGGTGTCATGCAAGGTTACATTGGCAATGTGGCAAGCTGGCAGAAGGCTCATCTAACCCCAATTTGTAACTTTCCTACACAGAATTAAGACCTGAGGGTTTGTTCACAAAAGTCCACATGAAACTGGAATGAAAGATTTGAAGTCAATGAGAGCTGATTCCATGCTATAGTGTAGAACGTTTGGGACAGAAGAACTTCATGGTAGAAGAACTTCACTACTTTAGATAACATAGTCCAATCATTAATTCAATCCTTCCTTTTAATTCCAAAAAATTCAACATTTTAAAAAAACTCGGCAAAAAAAATGTTTTTTGGGACCATGCGTCCTGATGGCAGGACGCATTTTTTGACAAAAAATGCGTCCTGATGGCAGGACGCATTTTTTGGCAAAAAAAATGCGCGTGGTTCCTACGCGGCGGACAAGCAAAAATAGGTTGGTCGTCAACGTGTTAACCTTGTGATTCAGATTGCCTTGGTCTTTTGTGAACAAACCATGATTAAGTAATTTTTCTGCAATTTTTGCACAATCTACAAACCCACATTTAGTTGCACTACATCAAACACACATTTAAAAAAAATAGTTTGTGATCAGTCTCATTTACAAGCAGTAAATCAGGGTTTCCTACAAGGCAAGCAAGCAGTTCACTGCAACTTGAAACCTACAAAGCTCAGAATCAACAGCTTTACTCCATTGCACAATTGAACAATTGACACTTTTGGTCAAGCAGAATATACTTAATGCTTGTTTCAGCATATTTCAGGGAAAAAGATATCAGTGGACTTAGCAACAAATTGCTCCAATTCTTCCCATACGAGAGGATTACTTCTCAGGCTGGAAAAGCTTTAAAATATTTCTTCCTTTTCCCAACCCCAACTGGATCCCATTTTGGTGCATTAGGCTACTCAAATGAGAAACTACTGGAATCTGTGCATCCCTTTCAAAGGCACCATTCACTGAATTCTCTCACCTGATCCACGAGGGGGAAGAGGAGGAGCATCATCCTCACTCCAGTGATTGCTGCTTGCACGTCCAAATGGATGTAATGCCTGGGATGGTCCTGTCAAATCCCTATTGTACACACAGACACCCAGAAATTAACTATCACTCCTTGGTTTTTAAATTTTGTTTAAGTGTTGGGAGGGAGAACCTGTTAGCAAGCGTGACATAATCAGGGTGATCCTGATTCAGGGAGCTTCGAGGTGATCGACTAGGTGGTGAGATGGTGCCATTGTGCAGTAGATGCCCAGAAGGTGGCCTTGGTGGAAGTGGGGGAGGAGGTGGGAGGCTGAGGGTGCTGGCTGATTGTCTCCCAGGAACACCCAATGTTCTACTCCCATTCCATTCCTATTCAATGGGCATTTTATACCATTATCTACTTCTCTCACTCTTAAGAGGGAAAAACACTGTCCAAAAAATATTCATATACAATAAACTTATATAAAATGTAATTAAGATATTGGATACAATAGTTTCAAATGAATTCAAATGCAACCTGCACCCTTTTGTAGGTGAAATATTGCATTTTCAAATATACACAGATGAAATGGCACCATTCTTTGTCTTAGAAAATGCTGCAGTGCTAGAAAGCAATGCAGCCTTGATGGTTTTGGTTTTGAAATGAAGTCATTAATATATTCTAGAGATGGAAAATTTAACCAGCAATAAACCAACTGCTCTTCCAATAATTAGTTCACTATATTGTGTCAAATACACAGGGAAACCAATAACATGCATCCAAACACTGTAACAGTGCTGGCAAAATAAGAGTTGCATTCTTTTTCAGGAACACTCCATTAGGATTTAAAAAAAAAAACCGTATTGAGGCTGATGGGTGGCATTGCAAGCACTGACATCCTGTATGATGAGAAGAGCTGGCAACACTAACCGTATTGCCAACTGTTGAATTCTACTGGTTTCACTTTACTACAGTAAAATTACTGGAGAGTATGAAAAAACAACACAAGAAAATAATCCCTCTTGAATTTAGAACACTATGTTTTCAAATAATTTTTTTGTGAATGAAGTGTTTGAAAGACAAATCCAGATAATCTTACTCTGTTGCCTTTAGATGAAAAATACCTAAAAAGCCTTTCTGTATGCATTCTTATAGTAAATGCTAATATTTCAAGTAAGGACCATGTCTGGGGTCCTAACTGCTTGTGAATGAAGGCTTTCAGGACTCTACGTATGAACAGCAGTCTCTCTAACTAAACATGAACCTGAGAAGGAGAGATTATTGCCATGAGCCAATTACACCAATATTATAAAAGAGTACGATCAGAGTGATAACTCCTGTAAAAACAAGCGGGATATGAGAAACCAACCGGTGGTCTGCAATAGTGCTGATCCTCATCTGAGTTGAGCCCTTCCAGGTAGGAACTATGAAGACTAGACACACTTGTACCATCACAGGAGGAGAGGCTGATGTTGTCACAAGGATATTCCTGTGGCACCGGTGGCAATGGAGTGCTGCATATATGTTAAGATGTTTGTCATGCACTGTCTACAGAGGTGAAGGAGATAAAAATTCAAAATGGGTAACATACTTGACTATGCTGGCAGTACGTTGAAGATTGGAGGCCTCACTCCTGGTACGACGAGTCTGTCGTCCAGACACAGATGATTCCGAAAAGAATATTTCAATATTCCGCACTGCGCTCTGTATCTGTCCAAAATTTTCAACTAGATGCTTATGAAGTCCTTGAAGACCACTAGCTAAAGCCAGTCTCCCATGCAGCTGGAGTCCATTATCCAGTATTCGCATCTGGGGATAAAATATTCCTCAGGTTTCATTACTTGATATAAATGAAAAAGCTTTGCTACACATGAGGAATTAATGAAGGTGTTGCAGGAAAGGTAGAGAATTTTCACCGCAGGTTCTTTGCTGTGATAACACAAAGACAGAGGAATACATAAGCAGAAGGGATTGTCAGAGAAGAATTTCCTTGCATGTTTTATGAGTTGATACATCCCAAATTTACTTAAATAAAAATGTCACACATGGTCAGCAATTCCTTTTAGAGCTATAAATCCTAACATCTAGATCAGGGGTTCTTAACCTTTTGCACCTATGGACCCCCCAGATCCTCAAGTATTACCCATGGAACCCCACCCTTGGTTATCAGAAACTTTGGAACACCTGGATTCAGAATTATGTTATTTCGGAGCTACCTTCAATTATATATTTAATTTTCCAAGGGCCCTCCATGGACCCCAGGTTAAGAACCTCTGATCTAGACAGTCTGGCATAGATTAAAAAAAATTTTCAGCAATAACTATCAATGGGTGAAAGACATCAGCATTCCATTATCCCAAGCATTGAAACTTTGTTGCAATAAAAATTCAATTTTAACACGTTGACAACCAGCCTATTTTTGCTTGTCCGCCGCATGGGACCACGCGCATTTTTTTTGTAAAAAAATGCGTCCTGCCATCAGGACGCATTGTCGCCAATGTGTTAATGAAGGAGAATAATACATCTCCAGTCTTTTTCCCCATGGCCTGTCATCAGATCAATCACATTCCAGTGATCCATCACATCTGGAAAATACCCAGACAAATGGGATATTCTCTTTCTAACAAATTCTTGCATTTGCAATTACCCCATATGTCTAAATTTATTTTGTTTAGAGCAAAATTTAAACTTTTGGCTCAGATTAGGACTCAACCATGCCAGAACAGATACCATGTACATAACTTCAAACACTGAATTACTTCATCTATAGGTGAAAATGCAGTGCCGATAGGATGGGTGAAAAAACCAACTTGGTTGGCTTGACAGGAGTATTGGAATGGAACATGTTAGAATTCAGCTGCTCCTAGGATAAAATCAGCACTGTTACTATTTGAACTCCCCTTTTACATATCTATTGTACGTTGATATGGCCTGAAGGCAAGACGCAAAGGCAGCAGCACTAGCTTGTCTGCTGTAGGCATAACCTAATGAACAATTGCATTCCCCTTAATGACCCAAGGAACTACAGTACTGCCAAAACGTTTGAGGCAGGTTGCAAAAATGATCCTTTTTCAAGAAAAAGATGAAAAGAATGTAACGCTCTATTTTCAAACAAAATATAAATGATCAATCATGGTTTTTATTTGTCGAAATTGTTCTTTTGTTTGCTATTTTTTTATTTTTATTTTTAAGACTTACAAAATGTTCCCACCTGCCTCAAACTTTCTGGCAGTACTATATATGGATGGTTCTCACCAAAATGTACACTGGGTGTTAAAAAAAATTTTCAAGAAACATCTAATAAAAATGAAACCATTCTTTCCATCACAACCAAAATTGGTACACAGAAACATCACACCTCTCTTTGCCCTGAAAATAATTCCTGATTGAATCTACCATCTGGAGGGCAAAGATTGTAAACTCATTCTGTAGAAGCCTGTTTCTTGTTGCTGTAGCCATGGTCTTTTGAATCAAAATCAAATTTGAAATCAGAATTCTGAAGATCTTCACCGATGAAGCATATTCCACGAAGTTGACCATTCAACTGGCCAAATTGATGATAGTTGGGAGTCAGGACTATAAGATCAGTGCAGGCAACAGTTCATTGAAATATGGCAACAACATCCATTGATTTGAATACCAGCTACAGCAACAGAGAGGGTTCTACAAAATTGGTATACAATCATTGCCCTCCAGACTGCAGAAGTGCATAATTTGAACAGTGATTATTTTAATAGCTAAGGGAGGTGTGATGCTTCTGTGTACTGGTTTTGACAGCAAATAAACTGCGATTTAATTTTTGATATATGTTTCCAGAAACTTTTTGAACATCCCTTGTTCATACATGCACTGAATACAGCCAAAAAAAGGAATAAAAGCATACCCACACACAGACACACAATTGATTGTCTAGGTCTTGATTATACAAGAAAATGCTAGAGGACTTGACTGATATCACCAAATAGATAATGCTGGATGATGGAACAGAGCTATCGCACCTGGTCCTTGATGAGGCGATTGAGCTGCAGAAGATTCTCTCGATACTCTGGGTGCTCATTTACAAACTCAGGTACAAAAAAAGCCTCTTGGTACTTAGCTATCCCACCTTGCACAGCAGCATCCAGGATCCCCTGAGATACATTCACAGTCATAAAGTAAAATTGAAAATGAATCTGAAAAATGGGAAATGCAAGCCAATAGTCCTACAGTCAATCTCATGGTAAGAGGCTGGGGATTTGAGTTGGCCTCTGGGCCCTTGTACTGTTGAATGAGCTGGCGCAATTCATCATTGGCTGAGTAAATGGTTTCACAAGCAAATCTGACAGGACAAATCTCCTCCATTGACGAACGTGTGACCTCAAACCGCTTCAAGATGCCTGGAAGTGAGCTCTCAATTTTCATGGTTGTTCTCTCTAGCCACATCGTCTGCAAGACATTGGGATTTAGCATCAAGTGAGGACTAGCTTATGAGCATCAATGTGAAGCAAATGCAATGAATATTTACCTTGAACTCATTCCCCTTGTTGATAGGACCTTTGTGGAATGGTCGGTCAAACTGAAACTTATCAACATCATTGACTAGGTAGAAGTTCTTTACAAAGTCAGGTACATTCTCTACAGCCTCATTATCAAAAGGAGCAGGCTTAGGTATGGGTTTCACATTGCATGTCAGGATATCTGGAATGGGAAAAGGTTGAAAATGAGTCCCAGGTCATATCAGAAAAATATGAAAGGACATAGGAGGATTCTGGTACTGTACATTGTCCATCAGAGTGACGTATGGAATCATCAGGAGCAGTGTTCTTTTGTAGGAACTGAGCAGCAGGAAATTCCATTTGCATGCGTTGAATGAAACTCTGGAGTCGCTCGTATTCCAACCCACGATAAACAAACACTTTCTCCTATCGAGAAACATTCCAAAGTAGAGAATTATGTGAAGCTCTATCACTTCTTCCCCATTCTTAATATTGAAGGGACAGAATCCTTACCCTGAGGAAAGCAGGGAAACCCTTGCCATAAAAACACACTCGGAAGTACTCAGGCTCAGCTCTAAGCTCTGTGAGGATGTTCTTATAAAACTGAGCCTGGGTTCTTAGAAGTGCACTCAACTTCTCGTAGTCATATTTCTCCTTGTAGAGTAGTGCTAATTCCTCACACAATGGGATTGCCTTTTCCCAGCACTTGAGAAAAGAATCCATGCATCTCATGAATCTCATGCATTCAGCCTCAATTTCTGCATGAAATGACAGAAAAAAAAAAGACAGACCTTGCCCCTGTCAAGGAAGTCAATAATCTTATTGTAGATTTCCTCTTTGCGTTGCAACTCCTGTTGCACAGGATAGAGGAGGTCAGAGTGCAGGACCTTCTGTGACCAGCCGAGGAGCTTGGCATGCAACATGAGCGTTAAGGCTGCTTCAGTGTAGTTCTCCATCTCACGATGCATCTCATGCAGTTTGTAGATGTATCTCAGGTACATCTCCTGATGATCAATCTTTTGATAGAAGTTCTAAGCAACAGACAAAACAGCTTTCAATGACAGAATCCAGAGTGGGAAGAAAATGGAAATCATTGAGCTTGCTTACCAGAAGACTAACAATGCAGCTCATGCGCTTGTCTCGGTTCTCATGACCTTGATTCACATTTCGATAATCAAGGAGCCTCTCCAAAAGCTTTGTCACACTTGTAACATACTCCAGGCCTGACTTTTTCCATACAGGTGCTCTTTCATTCAGTTCCCTCACCAATCTATATCAAACATAAGTCTTTCATGGCATCAGCAATTCCAATACTTTTTGAGATGTTTTTAATGAAGATTGAAGCTCACATGGAATGGAAGAGCCGTCGGTAGTTGTCATCTCCTTTGTTCTCACCCACAAGTATATCCAGCTTGTCTATCAGCTCATTTTCCACTTGCTGCAAAAAAATGACAATGTTTGTGGTAACTGAGCAAGTGATCAAGTTCTAATTAAGCAGAAAAGACCTCTATGGGTGATTTCAGTGCACTTGTTTCAAACGATTCTCAAAATGAGTGCAGATATGAAACTGCTTCGTACAACAACTCTCCATTTATATCATTATATTATGACTAATGATATATGATATACTGATATACATCAAAATAAGAGCTTGGAAAGGAGGATCAGAGATAAACATTGATTGTTTTCAACACTTACTTCATGAAAATTAGCAAGGGATTTGCCTTGAAGACTGTGGTGCAGTGTAACAAATAATAAAATGAAGTACTAAGTTTTAACTGCTACTTGGAAAGAAATTAAGGCATTTATATTCCATCTACCAATCTTCCATTAAAATGCAAAAGGATTTGCAGAAACAGAAAGGCACCTGTTTGGTTCCCTTGATGTTGAACTCGCAGTCCATCATGTCAATGAAGACAGGAAGAAAATCTTTACGTAGTCCTTGCTCAGGGATGAGGGTGACTTCCAGGATTGGACCCACCATTTGCGGGACGAACTCTATCTTGTGGTTATCTGTATCAGCAATAAAGCAATCCAATATCAAGCAATTCACTCAGCCAACACAAAAAAATTATTATAATATCAATAAACAGCACTGGAAAAAGCTGCAAAGGGTACAGAATTGGGAAACAGGATGTCTAACCTCACTTTAGTGTTGGTGTGTGACAAACTAAAAAACCCACAATTTGAGAAAACATTGTAAAAAGATGTAGGGCACAGTGTAAGTATGAAGCATACAATGAGACATCACTAAAATGAAAGTACAGTACTGTAGTAACTTAGAGGTCCATTTTGTTCTATGTTCTCCAACTCTCCCATTCCCTTTCCTTCTCTCCCATGCTAACTGACAATCCAAACTATCAATTGCATACTCAAATCTCCATCCTTCCAGATGATATCTCAATCTTCCCAACAGATCAAATTCAGATATCAGAGGCCCTTGAGGTCCTCCATAACTTTCCCAGTTTGACCCATTTTAACATCATTGGATTGCCAAAAAAAAAAAAACTCTGTTTCCAGTACATTGAATATAAAGATGAGAACATCTTCCAATTCTGTCAGACAGGAATATAGGGGCAAGTAACAGACCAAGTTTAAGTAACAGACCAAGTTTAGACCAGATGGAAAGGAGCTGATGGCCCATGGGAATCCTCATGTCACCGTATGTGTGGAGGATCTTCTCCCTTTTCATCTCTGAAAATTTCTCAAGCTGCAGTGCTGGCTGTGTCACATATGCTACTCCCAACTGAAGGTAGCCCATCCACAACTGGAAAAGATTCTTGAAGTCTTCACCAGAGAAACTAAGCTCACAACAAAAAAAAATATTTCGAAAAAAATAGGAGAAAAATACTGAAAACTTTCATTTATCTCTATTTCACATGATCAACTTAATGAGAAACATTTTCTTCTCATGACAGACTTGTTTTCCTAGTTTGCCAGTCTCTTTTGAGTTTGAGTTCCAACAGTACAAATTACTGTGCTGGTGGAACTTATGAAGAGACCTGGAAAACCAATAGAAGTGATCAGAAATGTAATTCATCAAGGTATCTCAGAAAATAGCTCTGACCTCCAACAAAGATGCTGAATTCAACGAAAATAACCAGAGGTTGAGTTTCTTATCTTCAGGTAATATTCATGCTCAATAATCATGACTATCTGATCTGATTTAACATCTAACATATAACTCAATTTAAGGTTTTTGATAGCATTGAAAGCTGCATGTTCTCTCATTGCAGAATTATTCTAAATTATTTTTATACTATAGTGCACTAAAATGTACCATATTGCAAACAAAGTTGTTAAAATCCAATAATTCAACAAGGATTCAATCAAATTGAACTGCCCTTGTAGAATCAAATGTTTTTCAATGTGGGACAACTGTTACTGTCTCTAACTTGATTTCATACAAACCATCGAACATCCTGATAACAGATGAATCACCTTGTTCTTAAGGCTGAGAGCATAGCAATATGGGTAGCATTAAGATGATAAATTACAAAAACTATTCTGGTTAAAAGAGGACAAGGGAAGGAGCTCACTGAGCTGTCAAAATGCATTGGATCAAGGAATGTCTTCACCATGGGATCAACAAAGCGGTCAAGGCACTCCAGAATTACTCTGAAAATTGAACATTGGCATTTCAATCCATATTATCCAGGCATTCATAGCACAGAGAAAATGATCAGATGGGACAAACCGAAGAGTGACCATTCGCATGACAAGCCAATCGGCAGGGTAGATCTCCAATTGAACAAGACTTAGGAAGACGTCAAGACTGCGGCGAAGGAAGTCTTTCCGGGATTTGGGCTTGTCAAGGTGCTCCCACAGTTCATCATGGTGACTTTGATCCATGAGACCAAGCAAGCCCAACAAACAGGACAACAGGCTCCCCTAGTTTTTTCAAAAAACAGCAAAACCGCAATTGCTTCTGACTGCTTCATTGGAAAATGTTTTAAACGTTAAGCCCATGAGATACCTACTGCATGTGGAAGTACCATGGGTGGAATCAAAAACTCACAGAAAGAGGAGAAGTACGCTCCCGCTCTGCCAGGCACCAGAAGAGAACATCGAGAAGTCGGATGGAGAGCCTGGAGATGTCAGAATGCAGGCGATTGCTCTCTTGTGATACAGGGGCACTCTTGACACGATGAAGGGAAGACAGAATCAATGACAAGACTGCCAGTGCCTTTTCAAGTTGCTCTCGATTACTCAAGTGATCTCGGATGTGTTTGGATACTGTGTCGATCAGAATGCTCCTGGCATCTATTGTAACACAAAATGGGATAATTAAGTTTCTTTCAATCAAGGTACTGGTTATATTAGAACCTGAGCCTCTGAATAACATACCCTGATCCTCAAAGAGCTTAGAGTTAAGTGTTTCATGGATGGCTGTTAGTTTGGCATCCACCAATGCATCAGGTGGTTCAAAAGGAAGACTTTCAAACATAGCACATGCCCATTTTGCTATCTGGTCAGATGGCAACAGGGCCATGAGCTGCTCAAAGATGCAGCTCATTCGGGTCAGGAAGGTTACCTGAATCAAAGAGAAAAATAGTCAGAAAAATATGAAATAATAATGAAAATACAAAAAAACACGGCTGCTTTACCTGTGTTTTCAATACTTCACTATATGTGGTTGAAAAGATGCTCTGAAAGGCCTGAAAAAGCTGGACAATCTCTGCAGTGAAGTTATCATTTCCTTGGCCTCCATGCTTCTTATAGAGAATGCAAGACTGGACAATGAACTTGAAGATGTAGTCCAGAGTGATGAAGGCACGCTTGGGCTCATCTTGTTTATCACTGGTGAGGACCATCTTGGCTGCACACTGCAAGCATGCAATCAAGCCCCTGAAAAGAAAGCATCACAGTCCTGATGTTAAGCAGTCAATGGTCATGGTATCTCTAGGAATTCCCTAACTCCACCTCACTCACTTCCAGACGAGGACTGCTGCAAAATGATCCCTGATATATGCATCCAAGACAGGTTTGAAGTGCTCATACTTTGCCCTCTCTAGCATATTGAAGATATGGACCTGTCAAATATCAATAAGAAATTACAAGATCAGTGAAGATGCAATGCCCTTTCAGACTCATTCACATAAAGAAACATACAAGGTTCTCAAAAACTCTTCCTGAATTCTCAGTACTTCGCCCATCTTCAGTCGCAAACATGGAGAAGAGAGCATCCAGGATGTCTTGGAGAAATTTGACCAACTCTTCACCATCTAGGCGCTTCACTTGTTCCAGGACTTGGGACAAGTTTTCTTGATTATTCTTCCACTTCAGCAGGGCCAGTAGATCAACTATGACATGAATAAATGGATTGAAGTCAGATTCCACCAGAACAAAAATGTGCATATCATATTGATGCTATTAAAACAGAATATGGTCAGGCTCATCACTCCTGATATTCTCCACCCTAGGGCATTATCCTCAACGTAGAAAGCAACAACAGTTAAACCAATTTTAGAGCTGTCTGTACTTTCTACTGCTGCATGCATGGATAGCCCAAGGAAGTTGGCAACATGCAAGAGGTGGGAAAAAAAAAAATTTCATTTCAGAACAATTCATGTTGAGGAAAAACTTTTTTCCACGCATGGAATTGCATGGCAAAAATGTTTGGCACTATTACTGCCACTAGTATGACACTTACCTTTAAATTGCTATGCTATGAAATTCCAAGTCTTGGAATTTCTATAAGGTTGTTAGCCTGCACTGATTGAAGTGTCAGAAAAGTTGGTGCACGTAAAAGGTTCATACTTCTCCATTGCAAGGGAAGGGGACAAGTATGGCAGAAAAATTAGGCTTCTTTCATTACATGAGGAATCCTCCAAATCTGGCAACACCATTTGGTTTTTATGCACAGGACCTCCAAGTCCATGAATCACCGAATATAAGAAAATGGCTGACCAAGACTCGAATCCACAGACCATTCTGAGTAAGTTTGGTGGAGCAGAGGAGTGTCTTGATATGAACACGTTCCTTTCCGCTGCGAATGAGGAGTCCATTGGCCTTGCGCTTATCCTCGGCTTCACGCCCAACTTTCTCCTCCTCAGATGATTGTGAGAGGTATGCTGCCACATTGGCAATGCGAAGGATGTCATCGCATCGGAACACACTCAAGCTGTGACTCTTATCCTGTATCGTCCGACCCTCCTCGTCCACCAGACGCAGGTACGAGAACCCGATCAACTTCTTTTCATTTTTGTCTCTTGCTACAAGACCCAATAGAATTAAAATCAGAACCTTCCAATTCAATGGCTGGCAAATTTCTGAAATATTGCACAAAATTTTACAACTTACTTGAGCAATGGTAATACTCAAGGCGAAGGTGAGACGAAGTGAACTTCTCAATGGGTACATCCAGTCTAATGGTCTCATTCCACTGAGGAGCATTAAAATGGTAGAAAACGAGGGAGTGGTATGCATCCTGAGGTTCTAGGCTTGCTCCTGCATGAAAACATCCCTAAGAAGAGAAATTCAATATCCATTACTTAGCAGTGCTGTCACAAAGTTTACACCATTGCATACGATATAGACAGACCTTCAAAGGATCACCAGTTTGATTGTTCAGAACCTGAATCTTGACTTCAATATTCTTGCTGATAGACTTCCCTCCTTTCTCAAAATCTGCTCTTTCCAGGGTGAGGTAGAGATCATTGCGCACATCGCCAGGCATAATCACATCAGGGAAGCCCATTTTCCTTGTAGATGGGACATTCTTGAAAAGCGGTTTCTCAGCCTTCAATTGACTTAGGTCCCCTTGCAAGAGCTCCAAGGCAACAACGAGACTTGCTAGATTTCAAAACATAATTTTTTTCATTGTCTGTATAGTATATGTGGTGAAAGAGAAATAGGATTTTGTTTCCATTTCAAAGGAAAAACAGCATCAAATAAATATCTCATGACACTCTTGTTACTGAATTCATTGACACCTTTTACTTAACACTGTAAATACAAGGTACTCATAATATCTTCACTGTGCAAATGACACTTTGTCCACTAGGTAATTGTAAATTATCTGTGCTTCCCTGTTTCCCTTCAGTAGGGTGGAGGGAGCCTGCACTCACCAAACTGGGGTTGACTGGTCAAGGGAGTGTATTTGTTGTGATGTCCTTTGATAATCATCTCATGAAGCTGATGGAAATCCTTCTCCTCGCATTGAAAGAGTCGAGGTGTGAATTCAAGCTCCTCTGGAGCTGTCTCTGAATCCCGCGAGGCAGGGTTGCGGATCTCAGCAATGGAGAAGGCTGCACAGCCCACTGGCCGCCTGCAGAAGTCACAAGCATTTAAATCGCCTTCCGTGAAAAAATAAAGACTCAACACCCTGCAGAAATGCAAGGTACCTATAAAAATGCGAAGTAGGCTTTTTGGAAGACTCGGAGGGGAGAAGTCGCCCGACGCGAATGACATGCACAATCATGTACAGCTCCCTGGTCAGGTCACTCATTCCCAGGTCCTGCCAATCACATGAAAAAAAGACCAACTTCGTTATCGGCCTTCAGAGCATCCAGAGTAAGAAAGGAACAGATGGTGAGCTCACAATAAAGATGGTTCTCCACTTCTCACTTATCTTCTCAATGAAGTAGGAATTCTCATTGGTCTTCGGGATTTTGACTAGAAATCGCTCACTGAGAAGAGAGGATATCACACATGAAGATAGGTGAAATAAAATCTAACCACATAAAACATTGTTTTCATGCTAATAATGTGACTCACCTAATGAAGACTGCCTCCTTGGCGTCATAGAGGGAGAAGTAAAGCTCTTGGTCTTCTGCCACCGCATAGCTGAAGTCTCTCAATTCAAAATACAAATGGTACGAGGAGGGCTTCTTTGTACGGCGTCTTCGTGGAGATGCATGACGCAACTGGAAAAAGCAACCATGATATGATCTGCTAACAATACTTAACGATGAATGGGAGAGTAAGATCCAAAACCCGAAACTTACTGTGACGTTCTGGGAGGCCTCCAGATTCTTGGCATGCTAGGAAAATGTTGAGATAAACAACTTGTAAAGTGGGGGAATAAATCGGAAGATTCCAAGAATACCCCACTAAAAATTAGAAGAATCTTAAAAGCTGTTCATGAGCAGAAACTCACAACGTTATAAAGATCGATGACACTCATCTGCTCGGGGTCGATGCCCTCGGCTTCTTCTCGCGGGACCATGTCCAATCCCAACTCCCTGTTTACAAAACAGGCGTGAGAAATTCCGACTAACTCGATGAACCTGTCACACCGAACAGAAACGCCGTCGACTAACTTGTTTCCCCAGTCGATCTTGGTGGTAATGGTGAGCTTGAGCTCCTTGATCTGGTCCTGGGTCAAAGTACCTCCGATCAGCTGCCGTCGCAGGGAAAACAGCTCGTTCATCACATTCCGGAATGTCTCGAACTTTTGCGTTTCCCGTTGCTGCAACAACAGGAAATGCTTTCGACTCATGATTTTCGAGTTAAGGCTGCGACCAGGTGGGAAAGGACCTCACCAAATAAAGTCTCTTCCAGATTGCACTCCACTCCCGGAGGACGGAGGCAACCTCCTTTACTGTGAAGTCTTCTGCCATAATTGAATTTCTCCTGCAACCATGAAATTGAGCGCACGTGCTCCTCATAATCAGAACAGATACAGTAAAGAATTCACATCCAAAAAGAAAGAACCGCTTCACCAGATAAGATAATAAGTTACATGTCTTCTGCCCTGTTAGGAATATTCCCAGTATTACTCACTACATGTTGTTAGGGAAAAAAAAAACACAAGCCTAATGCATCTGCACGAAGTCGTCATAATCACAATGACATTTCACTATCACGAGTAAAAAGTAGTATTTGTTTACATTGGAAGCTTCATCTTGCTTGCCGGGAAGGGAAAATCCCTTATGTGTTTCTGGGGTATAACATGCTTTTCCTGAACAAGTACAACTGAACGAAAAGAGTTCAGTTTCCTTGCCATCGTCACACGGAGCTGCAATCGACTACGGCGATAGAACGGGATCTGTGCTTGATACCTTGACAGAGAGCATGGAAACTAAAGAGAAGTAACAGAGAGCCCTATTCCTTCTCCATACCTCGCTCCCCATGAGAAGATATCATTTCAGGGCCATAGCGATACGGGGTATGGACCAATCCACGCCACTGCATGTGCGGAAAGAAACCTCTAACCCTCATCCACTGCAAGCCCTGCTCTCCGGACAGTGGCAGATATGGGGTTGAGGGGAGGGGGGGGGAGGGGGCCGTCTCCCTATGGCCAAGTTCGCGATCCTTTCTTAAAATATTTTTAAATTAATGCAAGATTGATGACCTTTCTTGTCCTTTCTTTATACCTTTAAACTGGGTCTAAGAATTAATATTCAGGTTTTACCAGGGATGAAAATGGCAAAGAGGATAGGAAGGGGAAGGGGGGGGGGGGGGGGGGGGGGGGGAAAGGAATTGGGAAAGCGCTCTCCCTATAAATAATTCCTTCATCCGCCACTGCCTCCAGGACGCTTCATTCCTGCCGCCCACGCGCTTCCAATATCTCTCATACTAGGGGCCCGCCCTATGTGTGACACTCACATGAAGAGCCATACAATGAGAGAGAGAAGCGAGAATGCGGGATGCGTCACGCAAGAATTATTTCACGGAATCTAGATGCATGCAAATGTAACCGTGAACTAGGAATTCAGACCATGGAATGGTACGCATTAGTTCATTCCCATAGTCTATGGCGCTAAACAGATAGCATACCATAACGATCGTAACCCCCTTCCCCCGAAATAGACACAAAGGCCACTCTATATTCATTCACTCTCTCTGACGAAACCGGAAGGACTTCCTCCGTCTCCACCAATAGATAAATAAATACATTCCGTCTCCTCTATGCGCTGAGAACCAGTACGACAGCCAGGGTGGATCTGTCTAGAATTCCGCTATCGCCCCAATTGGTCTGAATGAATTCACAGGAACCACTTTAAATGCCTCTGAGGTAGCGTCACGTGCCGCCATTTAAATTCGCATTCCTGCACGAAAGATCAAAATGAAAAAATAAAATAAGCTCAATTTCTGGCAGATTTAATGCAATTTCAATGCCTGTCCAATCTGATCCAAGGATAACTGAAGCAGGGAGAAGCAAATTTTAAACCGACACGGTAGTACATTGGATGGCAAGGTGGCACCCTACTTTTTTTTTACAATTTTAATTGAAGGGCTCTGTGAAAGACAGCGCTGTCACCTACTTTTAACTTTTTTTTTTAGGAACATAAGTCTTAATGTCCAAAGAATGACATGTTCATATAACAGATCATCACAGGCAGGAGGCATGACAGACCTCTCCTTATGTGCCGCTTCGAACATTCATTGATTTACTTTCATTTTGACTGGGCAGAAAAAGAGGTTACTCACGGAGGCGCGTGAGAGCCGCCATGAGACGACTTCAGCCTGATGTGGGAAGCTGGGTAGACACCCTGTCAAACAAGAGAGAGAAAAAAGTTCAACCCTCATAGCACATAATGAGAGACAAATTACATCCTTCTCACGCTTCCTCCCTCTCACTCTCACTCCACACAGATGAAAGGAGACAAGTTAGGAGATGCTCACCAGAGAGGACTTGTTCTTCGCTGCATGTCCCCGATACCACCCTGTGGAGAGAGACAAACATCCGTTCCCATGTCATTCCATGGCCAGCAAGTACAAAAAACGGTTCATCCAAGCTTTCAGCCATGATTTCCCTCCCCCCCCTCCCCCTCTTCTCTCCCAGTTCACACAGGCAATCAGATACGGAGAGAAGAAGAAATTAATACAGATGGGGTCAGAGATAGACATCCCGGTACGACCAGGCCATTAATTAAAGTCCCTGGACAAGAAGCCTCCTGCACGGCTGACCGATCCGATGCTCCTCTCCGTTTTTCATCTCTGTCTCTTTCGTCATTCGACCAGAATCCATTCTATTAATAGTTCCATTCCACTCATCTGCGTTGCCCTCTCGTTCCCGCTTCTAATTCATCACCAGCACGACTCCGAGACCAATCGTGGCTCCCAAGTGAATTCAGACACTCCGAAGCAAGAATTGACAGCTGACTGCATATTCAAGCATCAGAGCCGTAAAACAGCATGGACGTCCCGTGAATCATAAAAAGGAATGAATCCATGGATTCTTCACACACCCCTCAAGGGCTGAAGGTCAAGGATAACACAAATCAGATATGCAAAAGGCGATATATCGCCAGCTCTCCAGCACGTGAAAACCCAGGAAGGGGAAAAAAAAAAGAAGAAAAGGAATGGGACAACAAAAAAAAAACACCAGACAGGAGTATTTCGTAGCAAGAGGGAAGGAAAAGGCACGTGATTTGCCTTGGGCTAGGGAAAACCAAGCATATGAACGAAATTATGGACTACAAAGAGAGAGGAAGCAGGCCACTTCACTCTCCTTCTGAAGATGACTTTCCCTTCTCAAAAACAATGCTCCCACCCACACCCGACCCAATCGTATCAGATTCCTCGAGTTTCATTCATTCATTGAGAGATCCTGTGTCAGTTCCAGGAACGGAGAAACAAAACACCTCTCGCCCCCCGTCAGGCATGGACAATGGCAGTACTTACTGGCCTGGACCAAGGCCAAAATTTCGCTCTCAATGCCGAGTCTCCGCGCCACGCAATTCACAGAATGGAGTCACGTGGAGGAAGGAAAGGGGAATGGAGTGAACAGAGCATGAACGACGCCCCGAATCTCTTTCGCGGCAGTCAAGCAACCGGTTCTCTTACGTGACTTCTAGATCCTGGGTGACCGGTTCGGATTCTCTTTGAGGCCAAGGGTTGTCTAGTCAGCTTACGCAAAAGAGAATAACATGGGATGACGGGGAAATACAGTGTTTCAAAAGTCGCGCACCCCAATATAACAAAATACAGTGTACTGTACATCATAAAAAATATTGATGTCAATTAATTAAAGAAACACACTTTACCTGTGGATATAAATCTTATAGCATATTTATTGTCATAGCCGATTTAAACAATAATTCGTGTTATATATACGAGGGGGGGTGCAAAAGTTGTGAGACTTCGTAATTATGTGGGCAGGACTTTATTAATACCTTTGTGCGAATATATACCTTTTATTCCTGCCTCGATAAGCATTTTTCCCATCTGGGGTTCCGTTTATTGAAAGAAAGACAAAAGAAAGACAGACAATAAAAGCACGAGTCTCACTCCTTTTGCAACTCCCCTCGTAAAAGTTTTTATTTTTCTATACAGGGTTGTTCGACTTTCGAAACACACTGTACTTTACCATCTTGCAAATACAATGTTAATAATAATACAATAATTTACAAATCTGCTTACTTAGCTACTCATCATTTTCTAATTTTACAGTCATTCAGAGAGATACTATTTGTCAAACTTTTAAATAAGAAATAGTGCATGCTAGTCCTCTTCGCGTGACAATAGGTTAGAATTTTAAGTTATTATAATCAATGACGAAACATACTCTCATCAGTTTTAGTTGGTCCAAGAATGCATTCGGTCTACGAATCTACCACACAGCTTCACAGCCATTGTGTCAAGGCCACTTCGCATGCCTCTATGCATTCAAAGCGCCTTCAAGCCAAGGGCTTAACCATTCATTCAAGCGGAGGTATAGCACTGCCGTGCTATTTCCGGCACCTGTTGAGCCGCTCGCCACACATGCAGGAATATTACAGACAATATGAAGTATTCTGCCAACATTTAAAACTCTTCTGTCGAAGGCGAACCTAAAAATGTGATAGATCAAATTTTCCATCCACATTTCATGCTTCTGATACTAATTGAATATTGGATGGCTTTATTTTCATTGATTCCTGTGAGCTGCATTGATTCGTAATATTCAGAAAATATTAGGGATATTGTGTGTGTGAAATAGAAAAAGAGACAATGCGTTTGTTTTCACGGAGGCAGAGATTTATCTTAAAATCTTATGGGTCAGTAAAGATGCGGCAAAGAACGCAGTAGGAAAGAGGAAGACAGCAAAAACAGCCTGATGATAAACAAGCGGAGTCTCATCAGAAGCACGAACCTGCTAGCAACTGAAAACAGGCATGCACAGGCTCGGATTGCACTACACCCAAATTATTACCTATACCATTGCGTATCTTATCCAATCGGTTCCCCACTGCGCCGATCATTCTTGTATTACGAGCGTGGGGACGCGGTGAGACCCCTGAGGCATGAAGCGTCTCACGCTGTGAGACCCTTTGTGTCCCCGCACCAGGAAGAGCGTCTCACTGCTTGGCAGCAAATAAGATGCTGTCTGGGCATCACCTTTTCAGTATTCACAAAACACATGGCACCGGCTGCTTTCAAATGGCATAGGTGTGGAGCTTATTCAGCAAATGATTTGTGAGTCTGTGGTCGATGTGGACGAGGCAAAAGCTGTGGTCGCTTCATCTGCTTGTTGCTCAAGCAGAACCCAACACTCTTTCAGTACATTTTTGTGCATCCCTTCCAATTATGCCTACGGCTGGGAAAGTAGGATTGAGATCAATTGTCCACTAGATTAGAAGATTCTTTATCAGAGACCGCAAACGGTTAATGAATATTGATATTGACTGACATAAGAAACCACGGTACTGATACAATCCTACACATGGTACCGCAAGAAAGCTTTTTACATCTGAAGGACTATTATTTATTTATTTGAGTACTACTTGTCTCGGGTGGATTGCAGGAGCAATCACTTCAAATTGCACTGGTCGACCCAAGATTAATTGCAAATCCATGTTCCCGCATTTCCATTGTTTGTTTTTTTTAAGCCAGGAATATTGTGACAGTCCCGAGTTGCCCCACAATTTTATGGAGACCCAAGCACGTAAGTCTCTGAATCATTTTGTGGTTTCATTGGATACCAAAGATATGGTATCACCGGAGGGCTTTTATGATGCCACAGCAGCGCACTAGGAAGGCCGATAATCTCGTCTCGGTAAACGGGCCGGGGACAAGCAGGGTATTACTGTCTCAGATAGAGAAATCGGAGCGCGGGGTCTGTGACTCCTCCCAAGGGCACTTCCCTCGACAGGGATTCCCATTTCCTGGATTCTCCTCGTTAGTCAAGCCATACCTGATCTCGGGCGCATGGCGTAATTGAGGACGCGTGGCCGGAATTATAAAATCGAGGAATCACGCGATTCCGGTTCGGCGTCACAGGTACACAACGACTACCTGCGCGGCAAGGGGTCGACTGTTTCCTATGCATGATTACATTTTTCCCATGTCACATCTCGGAGATACTCCATCCCGATTCGTTGCCGTTTTATCGATGGACTCATTTCCTGCCATTCCATGAATTGCTTTCGTTTATTTATTCATACCCTCGTTTTCTACGCAGATATGCCATGGGGAAATCATGCTTAATGCAAGATTCCATTAAAATTCCAAAATGACATAAATCGAAAATGTTCAAGACAGAGGAAAGCGAAAACATTACTGGGATGCTTCGCATCGTTTGCAGAGGTGCAACTACCTCGTATACTCTCTGACTCATGCAATTTTGAGACCAGCTGAGCTAATGGCAATGATAGAGCAACTGGCCAATATCTCGTGATCATGAATAAGCCTTCATCTGCATGCAGAATCGTATTTGAAAGCGAAAACCCCAGCTTTGAAATGAGTCACCTAGCAGCAAGATAAGCAAGATAAATTATATCAGTGTAGGCAGATGTGTCCTCGGGGGCAAAGGAGAAGCTGAAATGGAGCTTGGACTGACTTAATCGAAAAATGAAAGCTCTGGGACCTGTTCCTCTCCCATATTCAATCTAAATCTAATCAAAAAGCAATATAAAAGGGAAAGTCTGCTCCTGGTCCACGCTGCAACTGACACCCTACGTCAAAACTGTCTGAAAGGGGGAATATATTTATGCTGCTCTGACAAAGTCTAAATACGATACAAATGTTGAGACGAAAAGGAAAAGCGCCCAGTACCACTCAATTGCACAGATGTGTGACCAGGAACTCGGAATGCCGATGGGGGGGAAAAAAAAAAAAGTCATACCACATGGCCAGCCAGGTAGTGAATCGGTCGTGCAACTCCGGCATAATTCTGTTCCTGGTCACACTTCACAGCTACTTCTTGGTACAGGAAGTTCTTTCCTTTCACCTCAACATTCCAGATAGCACTCAGGCAGGGTCAGAACATTCTAAAAGCACTCTTCCTTCAAGACCAGAGTTCTAACATCGACCCAGTGTTGGCTTGGGAGGAGATTTTTCATTTGAGCCTATTCATATTGGCGTTTTAGCTGAGGGGAGGCCGCTTCTTACATTGCTTTTGAAAGGGCTTAGTTTATGTTGAGCATAGGAGGCCACGGGCCCCAGAAAGGTCAACTATTTCAATAGTTTAACATATAAGCCTCTTCGACAGAAACTCAGAGGAATAAATCACACGGCGAGAACTGCTTATGTGTAAATTGAAAGGGGGGCGGAAAATATGAAACTCCCCTTCCTTTATTTGACCCTGCCGTCCATCCTGCTTAATGTCAACTTCCAGACGTGGATGGCTGCATGCGGCCAGTCAACCCCTCGCCTTCGCGAGTGTTTCTCGATCTTGGCGCCATCGCCTTTTCTCCCTCCCCCAACGACGGTCAAGCACTTCGCCTATATATACCTCCATCTCACCCCAGGTCCATGGGGTGTTTCCAAGAACCATATTGATGGCCGATAAGGACCGCTAAGGGGAGATAGTCATGATGATTCTGAGAAATCCAGTTCGACTTTCACGGCGGTCACATCCTCCTCTTTCCGAATCGACTCAACATAGGGAAGGCATCCGAAAAATTTACTTCCCTCGAAATATGGTCAAGCAATTTTGAGAGGAATTTAGCGATGCTGCCAGTCACGCGTTGTGAAACATCCCAAGGGCATTCTTACTGTTTATACAGGTGGAAAATAATACGGGAATGACATGGACCATCCCGAATGGCAACGTGGGAGGACCCAACAGGTCTCTACTTCACTCCTCTCTGAACGATTACAATTAATAGTCATTTCATTATCAGAATAACCGTGCCTAGAACCGGTCAGACAAAGCTTACAGCATGGATGAAATGTGACCAAAAACTTGAATCATGAGGCTGTCAATGTTGCCAAAGCTTTACGCAGACACACAATGTCATAAAGACCTCTGATTGCAATATTAGAGCTCCAATCCTCTTCCATAGACAGCTGAACAGAGGCTCGCTAAATATTTTCAGCTGGTTGAAATACGCGATCATACCTGCTGTGGCATAGATGGTATTATCGGACGAGACATGCTGGATAGTTCCAACATTCATATACATTCGCGGCACTGTCACCGTCCTCCCTCTGTGCCTCCGACCACGATCACCATCTTGATCATCCATAAGATCCGTCAACTCCTGTCTTTCCAAGGATCGGGACCGTACATGACTCCTAGGGAAGTCCAGTGACGTCGCCGAGCCTTGACGTTTCCAGAATCGATATCGTCGAACACTGGATTTATTCAACGTTTGGCACCCAAGGGCACCTTCGTCTGATGAGGTGCTTGCACCACGACGCATCATCAGCAACATCACATCACCAACACAACAAAGAAGGACTCGACGCTCGACGCGAGCTACCTAATCAGGTGCGATAAAGTACGGGTTCAATGACGTCGTTCACGATACGATGATAAAGCAAGGGCGCAACGGTCAATCTTCCCTTGACAAAATTTCGAAACGAGATAATCCAAAGGTATGCACTAAGGGTGGCGGTAAGACCCATTTAAAATGGGGAGAAAAAAACCGTGAGCCGGCCATCTGGAGGTTTTGTGGCCGAGTAAGAGGCGGAAAAAGAAACGGACCTCTTTCTCTCGCCCAGACGCATACGCAGCACAAACACACGCAATCTACCGCAAACGGAATCCGAACACAAGAAGACGAAGGATGCTAACGGACATAGCAGAAATGAGACCAGAGAGGAGTTCTCGGGTGGCAAACGCGTGCGAGGGCCAACATCTCACATCCTTCTCCCACGAATGAGTGATTCACGGAGCGGGGGAGAACCGGATGGATCCACCCAGGGGGATTGCAAAGACCTGGGGCACCCCGAGACACGTTTGTCTCCCTTTTCCTTCCTCTAGCGAGTCTAGCGGGTGAAAGACTAGGAGATTGACAAATCGGAACCACGTGTAAGACTTCCTCCCGCTTCCTGTTTAAACACATTCACACTCGATAACGTTTTTATCCCCCATACACTTGGGGTAGCGCCAAGCCTGGACTCCTTCCAATTTCCGGAATCAACAGACTCCCAAAGAAGGGAAAAACTCCATCAAAGACACTATTCTTGGACGCAATCGGACGGAACGATAAGGAGTTGGGAACCGTTCCTTTCTTCCATTGCGGTTTACCCTTCCCAATCTTCTTCCGTACTACTCCGAGACGATTCCTTATTATCGGAGAGGGGAAGTGACAACGACCTTGAAATCTGTTGCTATCAACGTGATGATTCCGCACCGCGAGGCAGAACGGATCCCAATACGGAAGAAGACAACCGGGAAAACAAAATTATATTAGATCTTCTAACAAGGTTTTTTCCTGAAGAAACTCAGAATCCCGGGATTTTCATATGTTCCTCCAATCGAATTACGGTTACATTCAAGAAACAGATGTTGCATAATCTCGAGTCTCAATTTATGGCTATGTTGATCTCACCTTCGGCCTTATGAGTGATATGGACGCAGTCGCCGATATCCAGGGCGATGGAATGCGGCTCCTCTCCTTTGTAATTCCAGATAGCTGCAAACAAGTCATTCAACACTTCATCGTCCATACGAGTTAATCCAAAACCATGCAGCAAAACTCATTGAAGGAGCCAGTCACAAGATGAAAAAGCAATCCTGGCACCATTCTATTCTGAGAAGTAGGCAGCACCCGTCCGCATTCAAGAATGATCGCAATCCTCTTTCAAAAATGACAGTTAAATGTAATCCTCTGACCTCTTCCCAGTCCAAAATGATGGTAATCTTCTTCCCTTTTCAAAATGACTGTAATCAGTTCCACTTCCCAAACCCCTCCTTCGCTACACATTGGTGCTTACTGCATGTCTATCACACTTCTAAACTTTTCATACATTTATCATGATGTGGAAAAATTCATCGATTAATGCAATTAGATGTGCCAGACCTATGGCAAGTGATCACACCAAGTCTGCCTGTCTATGAAACACACAATCTGCACATGACTGAGCTGTATTGAAACCTCTACATAAAGGATCCAAATAGAATTTAAACTTCATTAACTCTTTAACTCCATATGCAAAGGAGAAAGTACATTAACATACTACCAGGCATGAGAGCAGGATGAAAACTTGCAACTACTGCATTACTTAATTCGAATACACGTTGAAGTGCAACCTATGCACTTATCCCATGAGTATCCAGAATGTAGAATGAGGGAAACCACATCAAAATCCACAGAAAGCTGACAAAGATATAAGGCTGATGACGTACCGATTCCAACAGTTTCCCCATCTGGGACCTTGGACCACATGATTTTACCACAGATTGTTGTAGGATAGGAAATGTCTTTCCATCTTATTTCAGGTTGCTGCAACTAGTCTGTCTGCATCAACACCAGAGACACCAGAGTCACATAAGAGAGCTCAAAGGCCAATATTTCAAAAGCTAAATACATTAGCTACCTGAAGATCTGACAAGCAGAACAATGAAAGTCACCCTTTTGGTCATACAGTCAGGGACATTGTCATAGTTCTTGAGGAAAAATTGCAGGCAACAAAGAGATTGTTGGTGCAAAATGGTCCCTTTCTGTATGGTATCTCATATTCACAAAAGAGCAAGTACATATGTGGTATAAGTCAGTACACTTTAACTTTAATTTTACTCAAATGTGTCCCAATGTGACCCTGATTGTTCTACAAAATCAGGATTTCATGTGTTACATTTCTTCAATACAATATGTAATGGAATACAGCTACAAAACCAATAAAAAATAGGCATCTACCCTGATAAGTCAAGCCTTGAGCAACAAAGACACTGATAAAAACCTCCTTGCTGTATATATATTTGCCCTTGACATAGTATAGTCGGTTTAGTATTGGTACTGGGTATATTCAAGGCAACCCATGCCCTTATAACCAGAGCAACCTTTCCAATGTCTAACTTTTTCAGGACCTCACTCACATTGAGACTCTTTTTCTTATCTGATTATAAGTCAGTTAACCCTTATCCAGGCAATGGGAGTCCATTGGACTCCCCAGGGTATGCATCATTGCATTACTCTCTCACAATTTTTTTTTTCATGCATTTTTCATGTAGACAGTTATCCATGGATTCCAAAATGCAATTTTTTTAAATGCTTTAACTTTAATGGAAAAACTCTTATAATCTTTGCCCCTGTCTGTTTGTATCACAAATACATCTTGTCTGGATGAGGGTTAAAATCAATGAAAACAAAAATGAAGGTGGAGACAGGAATCAAACCAACATCTAAGCCATAAGTCTCTTGGGTTGCTAGCTCTCACACTAAAATGAGGGACAAGCAGTAAGAGTATTATCAGAGTAGTAGCTATCCTGCCCTGGACATAATCTCTATCTTAAGTATAAAAAATGTATAGGCCTACAACTTAACTAAGTTCTGAAGCGTAGGCTATCATAAGCCTATCCAGATTGGCGTTAGATCGATTGCCTTGTACAAGTGAATAGGTCTTTATCATGTATAGCATTCATTTGAAGTGTTTCCATGCTCCTAGATTAAACAAGCAGTCTAAAGGCACGGTCTCATCAGATCGGACTTTCGTTTTAAAGGACACAAGACCCATAAATCAACAAATTATTAGGCACATCATAGGCATAGGCTTGAAAAGCCATAGCCTGTCAGCTGGCTAAGTCTATGCTTCTCCTGTGTCTGCAGACTCCCACATGATAACCCTACTCCTACAAAGACATAAATAAACCTATTGGAGGTTGAATCACCAGATCATAAGGTACAGTTCCATGTCAATCCTCCACATGGTGAAACTCTTCTACACGAGAGTGGGATGCGTAACTACATGCGGAGAGAGACCTTGCACAACTGGCTCCCACGAGTCAGAGATTGTGATGGGCATAAACACTGGGGAACGCCATGCCTTGGCAGGGAGCACTCTCTTCATCATACGAAAAAAAATTCAGTCTCCCGTTCATTCCGCTAGGCGTCGGTAGCTAATGGCTTCGATCGAGCCTCATCGCTGGGTTCAGTTCTGGGATAACCGTGACCAATTCTGGCAGCGTTCTGAAGAAAAGTTCCACAGGTTTATTTTGTTTATTTTTTTTACTAGCATGGAGACTGTTTTTGGAGTATTGGCATGAGTTTTAGCGTGATATTTGAGGTCCATGGCATTGGCCTGGGTTGCACAGACTGACTTTTCGCTCTGACCAGGGCCGGATTAACCCATGGGCTAAAAGGCTATAGCCTTGGGCCCTCATATTTTTAGACCCTACTTTAGGCCCTCCATTCCAGATTTTTTGTAATTTGTAATTCGTACTTAGGCCCTTCCCTCCCATTAGCCTTAGGCTAATCCGGCTCTGGTCGTCACCAGGCCGAATTCCGAAAGGATTGTCAGCTCGCATTTCTCGTGGCCGTCAATGCTTTCGAGCGAAGAATCAACATTCCAAAAGGCGATTAGCCTAAGTCCCCACTTAGGGATTGAGACTAAATCCCCGGCGTGTTTGTGTCGTCGCAACAAAAGGAACGAGGCCGATCGCATCCGCTTCTCTTCCACTCGGCACGTCCATTCGGAATGTCTCTCGAGCCATACCGAATCGGCTCGACTCGTAATTATCGTAATTTCTTTTTAAAAAAAGCTCCAGAACTAATTTCGCAACTGGATGTCCAGAAAGGGAAACGCCAGACCTGAAATGGTCGCAACTTTTTCAGTTTTTTTTTTTTTTTAACTTACGTCCCTCATTTTTATGCCTCGAAGCCTGAAGTGTCGCCTTTCGCCGGTCCAAAAAACTTCACTGCACTTTTGGAGGCGTTTACAGAATACGCTGGATATCTTCGTGTCATCAGCTACTCGGTTATCAGCCGTTTTGAACGATCTTAAACAGCCGACAAACTTTGTTGGTTCCTCGGCGAGCCAACAGGTGGCAGTTCGCATTCCTGCGTCGGGTATTTTGTGTGCAAATAGCGACGCTCGATGAAAATCCAGCTCGTATAGATTTCCTAAAACTTAAGATTTCTGGGAAAACTATGATATAAAAATGCTTAGCGCTTCTGCGCATGCGCCTTTGCGACGAGCTTCGTCAGCCGGAGCTGCCACTTCCGTTCTAAACTTCGTCGGTGACGGGTCCGTCGATCGAGAAGAGGAGAGAGGCGGCGGAGACAGGGTTGCTCGCCGAACCCTTATCTGACAGAGTTGTCCAACCTCCTCCGCTCGTCGTCTCCTGCTTTCGTCAGTCGACAGTGGGACGAAGGCACTGAGCTATTAGTAGTTTTGAGTAGGCCATCTTGAGCCGTTCCTTGACTTTTTTCTACTATGCATATGGATCCAAAACTCAAGTTTAGGCTAATGACAGTAAATGGCGAGTGGGAATCGGTCTTGGCATGATGCCGGCGATTCACGCGCGAAGTGATTCATAGAGTTTAAAGCGGGCCTTCGGGCCGCATTGGCGGAGTAACAGAGCAGGTCCCGCGGGATCATTGGAGCAAAGCCCTACCGAATGCGGAGGCATGCCCTGCCATGGCCTGCCGACGCTTCTACCGTGTGGCTCGGGGTCGATCTTCTCTCCTAAAGCCTATGGTTTGCCTTTTGAACGTTCGCTCGAAGTTCGATTGACTTTGTGCCTAAAGACCCCATCACACGCCATGATTTTGCTCATATATGACTGCTCTCATATGAGTTATGAGCTCTTGTAATCAGGGCCTATGAGCAGCTCATAGGCTCACGTATGAGTGGGATACCAACTCATAGACCCTGATTACACGAGGTCATAGCTCATATGGGAGCAGTCATTTATGAGCAATATCATAACGTATAATGGGGCCTTTAGACCTGGTGTAAAATAGGTCGATTGTGATGATGTAAGGGCAGCGTAACGATATTGCCTTCGTAGGCCCAGCAATCTCGGCATAGGTAGGCCCAGAACTTAAGCCCACTCAAGAAATTGGGGACCCGTACTCGTGAAAGAAAAAGTAGTCCAACCAGACGATATCAGGTCTATGAAATTCTCCCCTGATTTATTAGGCCTCCAGTACCATGACTGCCCTTCATCATGTTCACGACAGCGATAAATCTGGGGAGGGAAATTATGAAAATCCTATTGTAGTGAATGAAGAAGAGCTATGATACCCACCACGATGGCTTCTAAATTCCGCAAATCCTTTCTATTGTGCGCCATCTCCAGTTCTTTTTCTTAGTTCAGCGTGTAACATGCGTGCCTCGTTGAGTCCGCTGCTCTGCCATGGAGAAGTTGTTAATGTGCGCTTGCTAGGTGGAGGATCGACAGTGACATCTATATTGCGACCCTGTCAATGAATGGGATTCGAGCGGAGTGGAGCCTCGAGTCTTCTCTATGGTTTCATCAGCCGGAGCTGCCGGCTGATGAGCAATGCCATAATTCTGCTAACTTGGTCAGAATTGCTAAAATCACGATTAATAATTTTACTCGATTCGCTCATTTCGAACGCCCTGATATCTCGAACCACATTTCCTGCCCCAATTGTTTTGGAACTCTGTCCACTAAAGGCTCAAAATGGCGACTGCGAAGATAAAGTAATCTTGAAACTGGGTGGTCCCAACCCAAGAAGCACAAAGGTATTGAACCATAGGCAGTTCAGGCACGATACAGACGGATTTCATGCTGAGGCGGTAACGTGGTGGCAAGTAAGACAAGCAGTAGATAGATGGCCTGCTACTTATGTAGGTGGCAGGTCACCAGCTCTCTTCCCCTGGCACTCTCCCCTTCCATTATCCAGATGCAGTACCTAGAGTCCCTACCAGATGGCACTTATGTTCCATGCACCCTTCAAATGCAATTAAGGACTTGCTTCCCTGATTTTGCAGAAGTCTTTCCTCTCCACTTTCCTCTTTTTATTGTGCAACTTGTGAAAAGTTATGTGGAAAGCGTTGAATAATAATTTTTTTATTGCAATATGTGACTCAGGGAAATATTTAAATGCTGAAGTATAGGAATACATAAGTGTACGAGAATAGCCAAGGGTAGAGTGCATGATCTGGCTAAAGTCGCGTCCCGAGTATCGTGTAACTCAGTACTCGAAGAATCCTACTTACCCTTCGTGAATTTGTGCTAGATGCCGAAGGGAACAATGGGTCATGTGATGCGCAGCGTCTGAGGTGAGTCTTTTGAACATGCTAGGGCCATAGAGTGGAGAGTATAACTAGAGGCGACACTTCGAGGGGTAGGGGAGGGTCGAAATATTACAGAGACCATTCGGTGGCTTGTTATCAACAACACTTCCATTCTTCGTGGCAGCAGAATCGGGAATCGATTCATTCGAGGATTCGACCCAAAGGGAGTCCCTCGACGTAATACGTCTCGTTGAGTCCGCCGCTTGTCCATGGAGGAGTTACTGATGTGCGGACGTTATGCGGAGGATCAACAGCGAC